CACACCCCGCCACTCGCAACCCCCTCCCTGGATGGCAGAAGTTGACTCCCTCGCGCCGTTGGTTCATTTTGTATCACATCATTATATCTCCCCTCTTCCTCTTCCCTTCTCCCCGCACGCCCATCCCCCACCTTCCCCGTGTTTGCAGGCCAGGGAGCGGTAGAGCTTCTTCAGCACGGGGCCCTGCAGCGACCTCAGCATGACGGGCAGCAGCGAGATGACGTCCCGGCGGCTCAGCGTGAAGGCCACTGGCACCATGACCCGTGGGTCACCACTGGCGGCGTACCAGGACTTGCAGGCGTCCACCAGCCGGCCTGGAGGCAGGTCCTTCTCTGTGAGCGCCTGCGGCCGCCACACCATTGCTGTTAGTGTTTTCATTAATATTGTGGAGGGCGTGTGTATGTGTGTATGTATGTTGTGTATGTACGGAAACCCCAAACAGCGGCAGGTCCGGCAGTATCATCAGCAATAGCAGTATCCCCAGGAAAAAAAGTACAACAGAGTCTGCTGCAAGGGCGGTGGGGATATAGTTCGGGTCAACCCAACAAGCCCTCTAAGTAAAACCCCTGCCATCATATATACACACATACATACATGCACGCGTGCACGTGCGAGTGTATGCATACCCACATGCAGCATGACCAGCAGCAGGTCCTCACTCCCCCCCACGGGCGCCCGCAGCTGTGCCAGCAGTGCCGGGTGGGCGGCACCCAGGGCCAGGGCTAGTGCCCCCGCATGCGCCCCTATGGCTGTCCGCAGATGCGGCCCGCCGCCCGCGTACGCCGCCACCAGCCCCGGCAGCAGGTCGGGCTGCTTGGCCACAAGCGCCATGTACAGCGAGCACCGTCGGGTGCAGTCCAGCACGGACGGCTCCGAGGGGGGGCCAGCGGCGGGGGCGGGCGGGGGGCCCTGCTCCGCCGCATGGGCCGCCGCCGCCGGCAGCTGCGGCGCCTCCGCCACAGCTGCCGCTGCGGCGGGGGCGGCTGCCGGCTGTACGAGCAATGCTGAGAGTCTGCGTGCGGCCGTGGCTACGATGGTCTGTCTGAGGTGGGGCCGCGGGTAGAGCTTGCTGGTGAGGAGGCGTACGGCGGCGGAGCGGATCTCCTCGTGCGGGTCTGTGGCAGTCGCAGTAAAAACGTCGCAGTGGCAGTAGGAATGGACTAGTATAGACACGCCATGGACGGGTGGTACGGCAGGTTGGTGGATCCGGAAGGGAAGCGGGCCGACAGGGGGTGATATCTGGGGGCCAGATCGACATACATACATACATGCATCCATACATACCCGGCTCACTACACACATCCCGCCTCCCCCCCTCCCTGCCTCCCCGTCCTCACCCTCCGCCGCCTCCAGCACCAGCTCCAACACGGCCCTCCGAACGGGCGGCCGACCCTCAATGGCGTCCCAGGCGCAGCTGAGGGCCAGGGTGGGCCACTTTCCCCCCCCGGAGAACAGGTCGCGCAAGTACGACAATACACCCGGTAGCGGCAGGGAGGGGGCGGCCTGAAGGAACGAGTAGCAGAGGGGGACGTGGGCGGCAGGGAGGGGGATGTAGGTGTGTATTTAGTTGGGGGATTACATGCGCAAGAAGCAAACACGACCCAGATGCTGCTGCTGCTGATGATGATGATGATGATGATGATGTCCAGAATGTCGCAAACTGCTGGGGAGTCTAAATCGTGAGTGAGGTGCGAAACGCGGGGGGAACAGTGTTTTTTCCGAACATATCTGCGGAGTCTGCAACCAATAGGACAGATAGCATTGCGCAGAGGACCCGGGTATTCGACGTGGGGGGTGAGCCGCCCGGTGGGGGGGAGGGAGAAGGATTTGCAAGCACGATGGGTTTGTGTTATATGCAAACGTAAACATAAACGTAAATGTATGCATATACATATACAGTATTGCGTCTAAAGAAGAATTGAACTGGCAGGAGGGAAGGTACGGCAAACACATGCGATGATGATGATGTCGCGTGGTGGGCGCTCTGTTCTGTTCTGCTCTGTTCTGTTCTGTGCTGTCATTATGTGCTGTGGAGGAGGTAAAAACACCCGAGACCACATTCCCTCTCCAACTGCCCCCTCTCCCCCCGCCGCCCACCTTGAGCAGTTCCTTGACCTCCAGTCCCACGACGGGTCGGGGGCCCTGAGAGGGGCCTGGCGGGGGGTTGGGGAGGGGGTGACCCGCCTCCAACTGCCACTGCCGCAACTGCATCTGCGGGACGGGGACCGGGGTCGGGGTCGGGGTAGGGGGTAGGGGGTTCGACAAAAGCACAGCCATACTCGGATAATACCCGCGCCGGAAAAGGGAAGAAGGGGTGAGGGAAGGGTAGGAAAAATGGGTGGTGTGTGTGTGTGTGTGTGTGTGTGGTGGGGGAAGGGTAAGAGAGAAATGGGGCTAAGGACGCCGGTCACCAGGAAAAAGACCAGACCTGCACCAGCCCGTCAGCACATCTCCCCTCCCCTGAACCCACCATGGACTCCTGTACGGAAGCCTGCACGCCCTCAACCTCCGCCGCCACTTCATCCGCCAGCTCCGGAACCACCGCCCCCACATCCTCTCCGCCGCCATCCCCCCCACCCTCTCCGCCCCCTGCTCCGTCCCCCTCCTCCTCCGCCGCCGCGTGTAAGTCCATACTCGCTGCCTCGCTTTGCAGCCAGGTACCCTGAGCTGCGGCCCAGGAGACGTTGGCCTGGTAGGGCGGGAGGTGCGGGGTGGAAGGAGGCCCCGCGTTGCCAGGGGTTGCGAAGAAAGGGGAGGGAGAGAAGGAAGGAGCAAGGACTATAAAAATCTAAGAGGGGCACGAGGTCTAGAAAACATACCAAAACGGTGGCAGGAGTAAAAGATGGATAAAAGATATATAATATAATATAATATAATATAATATAATATAATATAATATAATATAATATAATATAATATAATATAATATAATATAATATAATATAATATAATATAATATAATATAATATAATATAATATAATATAATATAATATAATATAATATAATATAATATACATTATTATCACTAAATTATTATTTCTTTTGGTAGTGGTGGTGACGGCGGCGGTGGTACACCCACCTGCAGTTGCCGGGCAGTAGCCAGCAATCCCTCCAGACCCGCACTCGGCCGCTCCTCGGGATGTAGCAGCTGTAGCTGAGAGCGCTGCTGCTGTAGCGCCGCCGCCGCATCCTTCAGACCTCGGCTGTAGCGGCGGAGCTGGTGAGCGTGCCACACGACTGCGTGTTGCCTGTTCAGGTAGCACGGGGTGGCGGGGATAATACCACGTAAGCAGCAAAGTGTGCCAATTGCCGACATTATTGTGTGTTAATGTGTGTATTTGTTAATGTGTATTTGTTAATGTGTATGTATGTGTTTATGTAAGTATGTATCTGCATGTGTATGTGTGTGTTTAAATAAACCGAGCCCCGAGATGTACATACATACAGGTTGAAGAAGGAAGTCACTTGCACAGCCTTACTGTTGTATGTGGGTGGGGGCCGCGCGAAACGGGCGGTAGGTGGGGGAAAGGGGGAGAGGGGGGCAGGAAGGGAGTGGGGTGGCGTGGAGTGGAAGGAGGCCGCATCTGTGTAAAATCCGGCTCACCTGGCTCGCTCCAGTAACGCCAACAGAACTGTCTCGTACACCGTACCAGATAGATCCGGCGGCGCGTCCGCATCCCTACTCCCGCCGCCAGCGCCGCCGCCGCCGCCGCCGCCGGCGCTGCTGCTGCTGAAATCTCCCTGACCCCCCCCTGCTCCCGCTTCCTGCGCCTCCGTGTCCGCAGCAACGCCGTATCCGTAACCGCCCCCGCCAGCACCACCCTGTCCTGCTCCAACTCCTACCCTTCCGCCGCCGCCGCCGCCACCGTCCTCCTCCATAACCCCAAACCCCATGTCGCCACCTCCACTGCCGCTACGTCTCCCAGCAACCCCCCCAACCGCACCACCACCACTGCCGACCGCGGTGACGTCAGGCACATCCGCCATGTCCACATCTCCCCCCCCTC